TCTGTGATGATGAGAAAAGAGACAACAAACACAAGGTCATAACCTGGGATAGGGTCAGCTAAGATCACCATGAAGAACAATCTGGGGACAAGAGAAGGAGAGGGCTCCCTCAGAGGAGGCGCTCACGGGGCAGAAAGACACCCACACCCTCACTTGCTCTGTTGCACGCGGACTCCCAGCACTGACATGGAACGTCTTTGGCAAACGGAGGAATGCGCCATCCCAGGAACACTGCTAGCTAAAAGGCTATTGTGAATGAACTTGCATTTGAGGATACCTTCTAGAAATGGGAACACTGAAATTTAAAATGTATATTTCAGAAATTAGTAAAAGTGAAGGCTCCCCACCCCAAGCTGACTGGCTATCCTCCACTCTGACAGCACCATACCCTATGCCTCCAAGTAACCAACTGTTAGTGGTTTAGTGAAGATTCACGCATTCTTTCTCTCTCTCTCTCTCTCTCTCTCTCTCTCTCCCCCTCTCTGTCTGTCTCTCTCTCTCTCTCTCTCTCTGTCTCCACATACCCAGATACACACATCTAAATATTTATTTCGTAAAAATTGAATTATGCTAAACATTACAGTCTGAAATTTGCTTTTTTCCCCACATAATACACCAGCGAAATCTTTCTGGTACAACACATATAACTATTTCTCGTGATTTTTAATGACTGCATTATATTCTACTTTTAAATCTCATACTCTATTATGGCTACTTGGTTGGTTTTTACTCATCACAAAACTTTAGATTTTAAAAAACAAACTGTCCTATAAAGCTTCTAATGCAGTTTCTCATCTCCCATGACCCATACTATATGACGCATTTATTTTAATTATGCTTTGGAAATTATTTTTAAGAAAGCAATAAACTTTCATTAACAGAATTCAACTCCCAGGGCACCAGAAAGCACAGTGCGTTCAGAGTGGCAGATGGGAAAATGCATTTTACAATATTACAGGAGTCTCACATTTTGTTTTAATGCAGGAGTTTTCCATCTGTGAGAATTAGGAATCAAAGTGAGCATTCTTGTTCGAAAGGCACTATTGTGTATCATTTATCCCAGAAGACTTGCAGCAGCTCAAGTGAGGAGGACATGGCATCATGTCGCATAGTCCGCAAATGCCTTGCACTTCACCAAGACATTCACTCTGTGCTTTGGCCCAGGCCAGCTGAGCCCAGTTGTTAGGCTGGGAAAGACACAACAAAAATAGAAGACAGATGATAAATAAGCCGTACTCTTCCAAGCCAAAACGTGCCCCATAATGTTCAGGATAAACTCTCCAGCTCATGACAGCAGCTCTCTTGGGACAGGGAAGCTGGAGGCAAGCAGGAAGAAGCTTCTCCAGCTCCCCAAGGAAAACAAAACCAAACAAACCCTCTGAGGCCTACTTATGGCATTGGAGTTCTGACATCCGCTATCAGAGATAGAAATGGAATTACTGGCAGCACTCTTGCAAAGAGAATGTGCTGATCACCCATTTGTTAGACTGTGTTGACCAAATACCTGAATTAATATTTATGCAATGGCTGGTTGCCAATCTCCCCACGGACACACAAGTTCCTAACAGCCAGGGGTCTTGCCCTTGTTCATAGCCTTGACCTTCCTCCCACTGGGTGAGAAGGAGCTGCTTAGGAAGAAATCACAGAATTGATTTTCATTGCAACTGCACTGCTTTCTACAAAGGAGAAGAAAAGGGTTTGATGGGGTCAGAGAAGACTTCCTCAAGGAGGGGATCAGGGTAAAATCTGAAAGACACACAGGAGAGAAGAGACAGAGGAACTTTCCAGGCAGAGGGAGAGGCCAGAGCCTGCTATGTCTGAGTTCAGAGCCTTGGAGAAAGAGAAAGCAGGTGGTGGGACCTGGAGGGAGGCTGGGAAGGGCATGAGGGAAGTGGAGATACAGACTGCAAGCAGACAGTGAAGAGCCCTGCAGGATTTGTCTTGGTCCTCAGTGCAGTGAGTAGCTCCTGAAGAGTTTTAAGCCAAGGACTAGCAGGAACTGAGGAGCATCTTCAAAAGAAGCTATGTGACCTGGTGAGTGGCAAGTGATCAGAGGGGACCAAAGCAAATTTGCAGAGAACTCTAGGAGGGTATCGCAACTATTTATGCAAGAGATGATACTCGTGTGGGCTAGGATGATAGAGATGGAGAGAGACAGACTCGGATTTAGGAAGGAAAATCAGCAGGTTTTGTCATGATTTGCATGTAGGGGATAAGGAAAGGCAGGGTTGAGAACAACAACCTGGTGTCTGAATGATGCAGCTCCTGGAGCAGATACTCACTGAGGAAGTCCAAGTGTGGAAAGAAAGACTGCGGCCATGGAGAATTAGAAGAAACTGAAATTAACATCCACTAGCATGGAGGGCTATGCAACAATGGGTCAAAGCTATGCCTTAAATTGATTATCTGGGGCAACCCCTTCAGGTCCCCTCCCACTGTGGGAGCTTTTCTGTCCTTTCAATAAATCCTGCTAAAAAATAAACTGATTATCTAATTTATTCCTAACTGCAGTCCTGTAAGACAGGTGCTATCTCCCCCATTTATAGAGACAAGAAAACAGACTCAGAAAGCATACCGCCATTTTCAGAGCTAAAAATTAAGAGCTGGGATTTGAACACAAATCTAGATTCTAAAGCAGATGGTTCTTTTTTTTTTGAGTTGGTGTCTCACTCTGTCGCCCAGACTAGAGTGCAGTGGCCGCTCCCGGCCACCGCAGCCTCGACCTGCTGGGCTCCGGCGATCCTTCTGCCTCAGCCTTCTGAGTAGTCGGAATTACAGGCGCGCGCTACCATGCCCGGCTGATTTTTTGATTTATTGCAGAGACAAGGTCTTGCTGCCCAGGCAGGTCTCGAACCCGCGGGCTCAGGCAGTCCACTCACCTCAGCCTCCCAAAGGTGCGGATTACAGGCTGAGCCACCGAACCCAGCTAAGCAGATGGTTCTTAATGACCAACTCATACTGTTTCACAACAACTCAGATCTTCCCAGGGAAAGTTTCCCGATTTCAAAAGCACATGAGCATGAAGCTGGAATTCTGAGGCCAACCCTCCCTAGGAAACTTACAGACCTTCTCTCAGGCTGCCCTGAGTAAACTCCCCACACAGATGGCTGTACATCTTCCACCATTTTTGCTCCCTACCTAGCTCCTTTTCTCCTCTACTTTTTCTTCCTCAAGTCTCGAGGTTGATGTTCCTCCAGCTGCCCCATCTCCCAGCCCTGCCTTCTCCAAGTTCCTATAACTTTCCGTCTCACCACTCAACTTGGTGATGATCAGACGCAGATCACCCAGCAGGATTTTCATACATTTTTCACTTCCTTCTATTTTATTTTCCAATCATGTGAACTTTCATACAGTGCATACTGACTGTCTTAAGATGTCTTTCCTGTGCTGAAGTCAGATTGTTGTAAACAAGCTAATATACATCAATTTCGAAACTAGGACCTGCAATGGGCCTGGTTGCTGGCCAACAGTTCAATTGTACCAGGGTCATCATCTCTGGCTGTAGAGTGGAGCCTCATTATACGTGCATTTAACTTAAGCACATTCAACTATAGGTTCTTGGAAGAGCAAAAGACAGCAACTGAGAGAGAGCAGGCCGTTCTGCCTGCCATTCCAATCAATGTACATTCAACCCACGAGACAGGAGGACACAAACCCGCCCTCCCCTCAACTGGTTTCCCTAAGGCCCTTTCCAAGTCTGAGTAATTCTCTGGGAAGATTATGACTTAGGTGCTTAAAGATACATATTTTAGATATATCTTTATATCCCTAATTACAGTGAACAGTTTTTTCTAGTCCTCAACTATAGAAACAGTGACTTATTCCAAGTCTGGGGGAAAACCTGGGTCTGTCGGCCTGCTCAAGGGACAGTGAGAAACAGCTATCCCTGGTGATTCTGATGATATGTGATTTGCATCCCATACTCTCTGACATCCCCTAGGATATGACTACGCTGATGGCAGCATATGTCTGTGTAACATCTGACTTTTGAGTTGCATCCTACTTTTATTATTGAATGCAAATGAGCAGGAATTGGAAAATAAAACACACTGATACGACTGATAAGAGTGTTAAACAGGCATCTTCAACACACTAAGCAAAGATGGAAATCTTTAGGCCACTTGAAGTCAAATATGAAGACAGATAATTTAAAAATTATGCAACATGAGTGGAATGCTAGACCTGGGGCCCAAAGCATGCCATTATTAAGAATTTTATTATCACCTGTAACTTTCTGGAAAACAATCTCCACAATCACCTGCACTTGCCTCAAAATGTATGTGAAATTATTATGCAGATATATTTTCAGAAAAAGTAATGTTTAAACACTGGACACTAGGCTGGACATGGTGGCTCAAGCCTGTAATCCCAGCACTTTGAGAGGCCAAGGTGAGAGAATTGCTTGAGCCCAGGCCTTCGAGACCAGCCTGAGCAGCTTGGAGAGACCTTGTCACTACAATAAATCAAAACAATTAGCCAGATGTAGTGGTGCATGCCTGTAGTTACAGCTACTTGGAAGGCTGAAGTGGAAGGATCGCCTGAGCCCAGCAGGTCGAGGCTGTGATGGCTGTGAGCGTTCCAGACTGGGCAACAGAGTGAAACTCCAACTCAAAAACAAAATAAAACAAAACACACACACAGGGCACTATCTCTGCTGCCCTCTGGGCAGGTGTATGAATTCTTGCCACTTGGCTTGCTCCAAATTTTGTTCTTGCCATCACTATAAAATATAGAGCTCTACAATAGAGTTGATGACTGATACCCATTGCCATTTAGATTGTGAGCTCCTTGAGTATAGGTCTTACTAATCTGTGTGTCTGCAGTGCCTCAGAAAGGGTCTGGCTGAAAAGGAACCTTCTGCAAAGGCTGGAGAGTGATGGAATAACTGAATTACCAAGTTTATCTCTCTGAGATTTATTTCCTTCAAGGAATAAGAAAAGAAACACACTGCCCAGCACCCATCAACTCCTTGTCCACTATTCATGTTGCTCTGCCCTTACCTGTCCAGGGAAATGCAGCACAGGTGAAAAATCGATGCGGTTGTGAGCAGGACGTCCAGAGATGTCCGGACAAGGCAAAACATCTCCCCATAAACCCAGATGTCTTGAACCAACTCAATGGCACCAAAGGGCATCACCAGCACCGAAACCAGCAGGTCCGCAAAAGCAAGAGATACAATGAAATAATTGGTTTTTATTTTCCTGTGAGCAAGAAAGTGTGAGAGGACACAGGGGGAGGGAAGAAGGGAGCAGGGGAGGGAGAAAAGAGCAGGAGAGAAAACAGGGGAAAAGGGAAGAAAAGAAGGAGGGAAAGAAAGCAGGGAGGAGAGAGAAAGGAAAGTCACATGCTGAGCACACTCTGTGAGATCCCCTTCCCCTTTGGTGATGGGGCTGAGAAGGTCCTGTGAGCTCCAGCCTCTTCTGGCTTCTCCAGACCCACCTTCACCAAATGTGCCCTTTCTTCTTCTCCCTTCTGTCACTCTGACCTGATCATAGCTTCATCGGTGACTTCTGCAGGTACTCCCTCCTCTACCTGTGGGCCCAGAGGCTTCCTCCACCCTCAGCCCTCTGGGCACCCTCAAGGAAGGCTCTCCAGGGGGTCCCCTCACGGCAGAGGTCACCTCCACCACCTCACACTCATAGACCACCGTGGGCCTCATGCTTGCTACCCCAGGCAGAATCGCGTTTTCATGCTTTATTTGGATCATCATTAGAAATAAGATAGAAGTAAAAAGAAAATGTTTTGCTCAGAGAGAAACTGCTTCTTTTATCCCCTTTTATAGCCTAAAGCTCTCACCACAGGCTGCATGCTAGAATCACCTGGTAGATTTTAATAAACATTGATGCCCAGGTCTCATCCAGCTCAATTAGTTCAGGAACCCTGGGGGTTAACAGTCCTCTCCTCCAAGATTGCTGGATCAGATATACAATGTCTGGTTTAATTTAAATCTTAGCAAAGAAAGATTTTTTTTTAGGATAGACATGTGCAAAATATTGCATGAGACATACTGCTACCACACAGTAGTTTGTCTTAAAGATGCTTCAGACCAGGCTCGGTGACTCAGCTTGTAATCCCAGCATTTTGGGAGCCCGAGGTTTCGAGACCAGTCCCGACAACTTGGCAAGACCTCGTCTCGACAATAAATCAAAAAATTAGCTGGGCACGGCAGCACACGCCTGTAGTTCCGGCGACTTAGAAGGTTGAAGCAGAAGGATCACTGGAGCCCAGTAGGTCAACGACGGGGCGGTTGTAAGTGTGCCACTGTACTCCAGCCTGGGCAATGGAGTGAGACTCCAACTCAAAAAATGATAGATCGAGACCTCATCTCTACAATAAAAAAAAAAAAAAATGAGCCGGGCGTGGTAACGCGCGCCTGTAATTCTGGCTACTCGGAAGGCTGAGGCAGAAGGATCGCCGAGCCCAGCAGGTCGAGGCTGCGGTGGCCGGGAGCGGCCACTGCACTCCAGTCTGGGTGACAGAGTGAGACTCCAACTCAAAAAAAAAAGTAAAGGTGCTTTGGGGGATTCTAATTGCAGCCAGGGTTGAGACAGATGGAGTCAAGAGTGCAGAAGACCTTTAATTTCTAGATCAGTCACCCGTCAGTTATCCTTTCCCTGAACTGTTGGTCAAATAGGGAGGTTGGATAAGGTGTGCTCTCAACAACTGCATATAGAGTCGTGGGTGATCACAACCATGTAAAAGCCAAGTATGATATGGGAAAAAGAGTGGAAATATACAACAGTGTTCACACGGTTATATTAGAGTTGTGAGATTACGTATGGTCCTTACTTCCCTTCTCCATTTTTCAAATATGGTTCCCACGAATGTCTTCAACATTTCTTGGTTATGAGTTAAAATGGAAATGTTGAGACCTAGCATTCCAGGGGAGCCTGGAGTCCCATCCACATTTCCTCAAGAGGTTCCCTTGGGCTGCTCACCTGAGCTGCCGGTCCCTGCACACGGCCACCATCACCAGCAGGTTCCCCAGGATGGCCATCAGGATAACAGCTGAGAGAAACGTGAGCAGCACCACCTTCTCCACTGACCCGAAACCCTCCTTGGAACTGGAAGACACAAGCACACACACACAAAGAACTGAACAATACTTGGAGAAAGGGCAAAGAAAATTCATCTTTTCTCTTTGACTTTCAGGAAGGTGATGTCACCAGGATCAGCTCCAACATACACCTGTCATGTACCTGATAGATGCCAAGGTCTGAACCCATCACTTGATGTGTCATCCTGGTTAAGTCCTAGGTAACAGGAGGTGGAGGCCAGGAGAGGTGACTTAGCCATTCTGGGATGGCAGACACTCTCCACCTGGGGACCTGTGGCTTTCCTTCAGATCACTTGGCCTGGCTTGTGCTCAGACATGTGTATGGTTGATGTCTGTTTTGTGAACCTATCCAGCTAGACTGTAAACACCAGGTGAATGAATGGCAGTAGCCTAGTCAGGGTCTGCATGAATGCAAAGTCACCCTGTCCTCAGCATGCCATCCCAGCAGGTGGGCTGCCTAGGGGATCGAAGACCAAGGCTTGAAGGCCTTTTTCTTCACTGGAACAAATTGATCTTAGATTCTGTGAAGTTCACTGGAAAAAAGCAGCCAATCAATAAGCTCAGTAGCTCCTTTCACTGCCCTGAACCACATTTCTTTTGGTGCCCACCATAAGTTATTGTTCCCCTGGCTCAAATTTGTGTTCTTATCAATTTCTGCATTCAATTTGATTCTACAACCGTTGTCTTTCCTGTGTGAACTCAGCATTTTGTTTTATTAACTTGGATGTGATGGTCCCCATCAATGAAATCATAATAGCTACAAGTTATCCAGAAGTTATAGGAACTTTAAAAATTGTTTATACTGTAACAAAATGTTCTTTTAAATGAAGTTTCAATGACTCTCTAAATTCCTGGACTCAAACCCCACATTTCAATATGGGAAAATGAGGAACCAGAAATGGACACTGAGTTGCCAGAGCATATTAGTGGCTGGTCTGGGGAAGGCTGCTTGTCCTATGAGACCATCACTGAGAATATAGGATCCCCAGAATCCAGAACTATTAATATCTTTCTTGAGCTCCTTTGGTTGAAAGTCAAGATATCCACTGGTCTCAAGTGGCAGCCGCCTGCCCAGTGCTGATTTTGGTTTTGTCCAAAATTTCTTCCACTGGGGCTGGCACAGAAGGCAAGGTGATAATTAGAATAGGTCTTATATTGGTTAGAGAATAAGAAAATCCCTTCACTCTGCTGAGAAGTGTTTTTATAGATTGACTGAAGTGTTTAGTGCTGAGGTTCAGATGAAAAGACATTCCAGGTATGTACTGCTAAATCGCTCTTTCACATTTAAGTTCCAACTATCACCAGTACAAATATTGGATAGGATTTAATTCAATGAGGAAAAAGACCTCCATAGGGCGATGTGGGCATCAAAAGCTCATTTGACTTAGGCCACATTGAATCAAAGTGTCCAACAAAAGAGGTAACGTGGTGCTTATCCTTGTCCTCCTCAGAACCTCTCACTCAGAGACCCTGGGACACGTGCTCCCCCCCCCCACCCATGACCTCTGTGTTGGACGTGCCTTCTTTCTGGAATTCATATTCATCGACTGGCTTCTGATCATTCTGGCCTCAGATTAAATTCAACCCCCTAATGTACCACCGCCATTTTTTCATTTTCTTTACTGCATTTGTTGCTTTCTTAAATGACTTCCGTTATCGATGATTATGTATGTGTTCCACTCCACAGGCTGACTCTGGTGATCTTTTCTGCCACAATTAGCAAGTCTGGCACTGTGTCTATTCTACAGTGTGCATTAATTTATATGCAATACTATTGTAAAACATACGTAGAATATGTAATGCACAGTAAGTACATAACTATTTGCTGATTGAGTGACAAAGAGATATATTATGCTCATAATGATGAAGTTTATTATTCAATGTCTTTGGAGACTGGTTGAAGGTATGAAGAAGATTTTACCTAAAGAAGAGAAGGCCCAAGGATGAGACACAAATGCTATTTTTAACTATCTGAAATAAAAGTAGATACATACATGAATTCATTTTGTGTTCTCATCAGCACATCCACAGCTATTTCCTGTTTGCTTTGTGTGTGTTTATAGTAGCCATCCTAATGGTGTGAAGTGGTCAACAATTTCTGAGCACCTGCTCTGTGTTAAGCATCACCGTGTGTCCCAAAGAAGCATCAAGGAACAAAACAGAGCAGACAATAAACAGACACACAGGACAATATATAAGGTGTTGCTGGTAATAATACTCCCATGGCACAAACTCCAAGAGGGTGAGGAGGACTGGACAACTGGTGGAGGTGGAGAGCTGGCCTTCAGTAGGGATGCCAGAAAAGACTGGGTGAGAAACATCATCACATATTGCACTGTGCAGGTTGTGAGGTTCACGAGGACAAGAGTGGGCTTTAGGCAGTGGTGCCCAGCCTCAGCTGACATTGAGATGATCTGAGGAACTTCGCAACAGCTGGCACTAGACTTCCCCTCAGGACACTGAGTTAACTAGTCTGGGTTACAGTTTGACTGCAGATATTTTTAAAAGCTCCTGAGTGACTCTGAAATACAACCAGGATGAGGTTCACTGACAGAGGGAGGCATGATTGTCATGGATGAGAAGAACCTTCTAACAACTAAAGATGATCCACAACGGCCTCCTGGTGTTGTTTGGAGCTCCCTGGTGCAGGAAGTGCTTACGAATACCTGAATGCCAATGAGGTACCACTTCACACCATTAGGATGGCTACTATAAACACACACAAAGCAAACAAACAGGAAATAGCAAGTGTTGCTGTGGATATGTGGAAACTGGAACTCTTGTGCATTGCTGATGAGAACAGAAAATGATGCAGTCACTGTGGAAAACAGTTTGGTGGTTTCTCAAAAAGTTAAGTACAAAAAGAACATACGATCCAGCAACTGAATCCTAGGTGTGTGCCCCAAATAACTGAAAGCAGGATACAAGCAAATACTTATATACCAATACTCTACAGCAGCACTGAGAGAGTACAATAGCACAAAGGGGTACACAAATCAAGTGTCTGTCAATAGATAATTAAAGAGAATGTGGTATATACATACTACAAAATTTTATTTCTCCAGCAAAAGAAATAAAGTTCTGATACATGCATGCTGCCACATGGATGGGCCTCAAAAACTCTGTGCTGAGTGGAACAAAATGCACACAAAAAGGACACAGGCTGTAAGATTCTACAATATGAGGCTTGCAGAACAGGCAAAGTCATAGAGATAAAACCAGAATAGTAGTTATCAGTGACTGGGGTAGAGGAGACCAGGTAATCATTATTTAGCAGGTGTGGAGTTTCTGTTTAGGGTGATGAAAAGATTCTGAAAATGGGTAGTGGTAATGGTTGCATACATTGTGAATGTTCTTAAGATCACTACATTGCATGCTTAAAATGGTTATTTTATGTATTAGTGATACATTTTATGTTATTTGTTTATTTATTTTGGTAGAGACAGGGTCTCGCTATGTTGCCCAAGCTGGTCTCAAACACCTGGCCTCAGGCAATCCTCCCACCTAGGCCTCCCAAAGTGCTGTGATTACAGGTGAGAGTCACCACACCTAGCCTATATTGTGTCACAATTAAAAAAAAAAGAATACATGGATATGGAGGACTACATATCAGGATACTGTATCAGGCTCCTACATTGGGGGCAGGCTGGTCTGGCTGGTTATAGGACCCCCTTTTTGTCTATTGTCTATGATTTGAACATATCCTTAGAACAGGGACTCTCCATCACCATTAGAACCATCGCTCGTGTACTGCCTATTCTTGTGTAGAAGAAAACAGGTTCAGAGTGTCTGTGATGAACATCTCTAGCTCCAGGGAACATATATTTCAAATCAAGAGGGAATATCAAAGTCAGAGAACACCAAGTTCAATTGTGTGGTTCATTTGTGGCATGCTAATTAGGAGCTAGAAATAGCTAAACTTTAAACTATGAGTGCTGAGCAAAATTTAACAATAGAAGTTTTTCTAATTAGGCAGGACTGTCTATTGAACTGAACGCAGGTCCAGTAATGATAATCAAAATAAACCAGGAACCACTTCTGCAAAATCCCTGTTAGATCCTTGGACTGCCTCTGACATCCTCCAGGAATTCTGTCATTCATTCTCCCAGGCGGTTCTCATCTGACCCGGAGTGGTCCACCCTACTAAATTGGTTCTTTGACGGCTATTCTTATGAGAAATTTTGTGTTCCTTCTTTTTGCTTTTCCAGTGATCTTTTGACCCATTAATTTTAAAAAGAAAAACTCCACAAACTTGCAGACTGTGTTTACCGTTTTCTCTGCTCTTAATGAAAAGAAAACCTGAAGATACTAATTGTGAGTAAATTTCCACATAGATTAGTGTATGTAAAAGTGGAGTGTAAATAAGAAAGTATAATGCAAATGAGCAACTATTGTTATTAATCCAGAAGCCCATAAAAGGACAACAGCAAAGGAAGTCCTAGGTTGTGCTTTATTACACACACACACACACACACACACACACACACACACACACACACACACACACACTTTCTTTCTTGAAAGTCAAGAACACATCTTTTGAGTCTGGTTTTGCTAATTCCCAGCTCGGTGACTTCTTCCCTAAGCCTCAGTTTCTTCATGAATCAGTTGAGAAGTTAGATTTAATTTCTCATTTGTCAAATATGTATTGAATGGCAACTCTGTGCCAAGCTCTGTGCTGAGCACTGGACACGACAGGAAGAACAACAGACACATCCCTGATCTCATAGAGTTCATACCATCAGTGGAAACAGAAAACATTCAAGTGCACAATTGAAGAAATAAGTGCCATTTGTGATCAGTGCTTCAAAGCTGCTCTTCTCAAACCTTAATGTTTGTATGAATCCACTGGGGAGCTTGTTAAGCTGCAGATTCTGCTTCTTTGGTTCTGGGCAGGGCCTGGCATTCTGCATTTCCAACAAGCCCTTGTGTGTGGCTGAGTTTGCTAGTTCCTGAATCACCCATGGATTAGCAAGACCACAAAAAGGCATGAACATGCGAGTGTGA